CTCCTCCTTCATTCAATTTGATAGTAAACACGTGTTTTCTGTTGTTCACAATATTGCACCGTAAACTTATTCTAACAGTTACTAAAATAAGGATAAATGCCACAAAATTTTGAAATATTATAAACCTACTTCAACATATGATTAATATATAATACTATTTCATAATTCTTCAAAAATGTGATTCTGATTAGTCTCATACGTTAATGTGTAGTCAAACCTTTTACACGTTTTATTGAAACATGAAAACACACACTATAAACATAAATTCCAATATTATGTTCCAAAAATTGTTAGAGACCAATGAGAATTTTTCGCGCTAGATAACATAAAGAATCTCATAGCACTACTAGGGCATTAGGCAATCAAGTTACAGATTTCATGATATATATATATATATATATATATATATATATATATATATATATATATATATATATATATATATATATGATAATTATTAAAGATAAATTTAAAAAATGTAAATGAATCGATAAATAAGAATAATTGTTAAAAAATTTATATTGGGAATTAGAGATAACGAGAAGTTAAGAATAAATATTAATTTAAGAAAATGGTAAGAAAATGGAAACTCTTGTATGGTTTATGGGATTGAAAGTATGCTCAAAACAACATATATTATTGAAAAAGGGGTCAAGAAAGACATAAAATGTGGAAAGTTGAAGAGTAAAGGACTCTAGAATTATTATATAAAATGATAAAGATGAGATATCGAGAAGAATTAATATATTCAAAAAATATATGAAGATAATTATGATTTTTATTATGATATATGAATATTAATAGGTACCGGTTGCCAATGTGAGTAGAAAAAAAACAATTATAATAAAGTAATTACTTATAAATTTTTTAGTTTGTTTTGTTTTATTTCATTTAACTATATTTTATTTTAATTTTTATTTATTTGAGTAGTTTTATTTTATTCGTTACACTAAAGAAAATAAAAATAGGAAAAATAAATTAAAAAAATTTGCGATTATAAAATTATACAAAAAAAATGGTATTAAACAAATAATTTTAATAAAAAAATTTACAATTTAGATCGTTATTAATTTATTTTCTTTACCAATTTCTATTTTATGATTGATAATGAATTATATTTATCTTTTATTATTTATTTTCTTTACGTATTTACTTTTCAACAATTTAGTTTTATTATTTTTTATTATTTTAGCAATTTATTTTAAATATCTCAAATCACATTAAAAATAAAATTTATGTAATCAATCTTTAATTAAAATATATTGTGTTTTAAATATAAAATAATTTATGCAAAACAAACCGGTACGATGATTTAAACGATTGATTGCGTAACTAATTATAAATTTAATTAAATTGACGAACAAATCATTTATATTAGACATAATATTGTTTTTACCTTATAATTTATTTATAGAAAACGGTAAGAATACTTTTTCTAATCCTCTTCTTCAAACAATTTTTTATTATTGGTTGAAAATGATTGAAAATCATTAATTTTAAAGAAATTCACTTTTCATTTAATTATTATTTTTTATGATTTAATGAATCCAGTAAACATAAACCATTAAAAAATAAAATATTAAATAAATTATACCAACTTTACTAGAATATGTGGGGTCTAAAAATGTTTTGTTAGAATATTCATTTTTGGAGGATGGTAGTGTTAAACGAGTATGATAACATTTTAAAAACGGGTAAATTTTCTTGAATAATAACAAAATTTAACTTCAAAAAGGGGTTGGTGTGGAGGGCACGCGCTTTGAGAGAGTGGTAAAAAGAAAAGTGAGGTGGAGAAAGTCACGTGAGTAACATGCAAAAGGCATGATCCTCTGTAACCAGGTGTTAACTGTGAAGTGATGGAAGACGTTCAGTGATTTGTTGGTTGACACGTAATGGGTCCCACTCTAGAAGATGGGTACGTGGCAACATGTTAGTGGGTCATCCTTGTAACACCCCCCACGTGCCCAAGTTCAACCCTATCAGAATGTTGACCCTAAAAATTGAAAACCCTCCCAAATTCATGAATCCTGAGATGTTGAGTTATGGATGCCATTAGAGTAACAGTTTCTTGACCAAGCAAAGGACAAACAAAAAATTAATTTGAAAACTGCTTTGTCTTTCACCATCTGATTTATCAATTGATACTCACATCAAATGCCAAATTTCATATTTCTTCTCATTTTTTATTTTTTTTTCTTTAATTATTGGTCTTAAATATTTTCAGAATTTATTTGTTATAAAATTATCGTTTATGCTGGACTATTTTACGTAGTTGAGAATTGTGTAGCGAAGATGAGAAACCATAATAAGTTTCTTCCATATTGTCTTTGAGGAGTCAACTTAAGGTGTGATAAAGAGAAACATTGGTGTTGATTATATTGGATGAAAAAACATCAATATAAGTAATATTGAATCGTTATTGAGTCGGATTTAATATATTTTCTTACCCAAATTAATTAATTTGGTCAAATTTTCATAAACTTTTAATAAAATAATATCTTTATTATATAATCAAGTTAAATTCATAATTCATTAAACTTTACCCAATAAAAAATGGTAAATAAAAAACAACCCGTTTTACTAATAAAAAACATATAATTAGGTTAGGTAGAATTGAATGATTTGTATATTAGGTATAACTCACCTACACTTCTATAAGATAGGTATACATATAAAAATATTTTTATCTTATTAATCAAGTACACTTTAAAATAAAATGTATATCAATATACATTTACCGATTCTACTGTAGCTCATTACTAAATTAGAAAAAAAAAAAAGGTTGCTTTCATTTTTTACATAACAATTAGATATTTTAGGTTGTGTGTGAAATATTTTCCTTTTTGGTGCACTTTCTTTCACTGATTTTGTTTTATTGGATGGAAAAAGATAGCATGCTTACTCTTGAAGTTTTGGCAAGTATTCACATACATACACACACGAGTAACTTTTTTATGCTTTTGGGGTCACTAATGTGTCCCAAGTGTATAGAGAGATAGACCATATTAGTGTCCCATAAAAACAAAAGGTTGAGTGTCAATAATTATTTGCCTAAATTGGTAGAAAGAATTGAACTATTTTACAAGAGAACTAAGCAAAATCCACTCTATGTAATTCATGGGCCCTTTGACTATAGTATCTCTCGTCAAGAATATAGCTAATTATATATATTTTTTGGCAACTACAAAGAAAGAAATTCTTCAATTTACAAAAGATAAAAAAAAAAAAAGGAATATTGTGGAAAAAATGGAGAACATGATAGTGCAATGGTCAAGGGAGACTGAAAACAACCTTTCACTCACTCCCATTTGGTGCCAAAGGTTTTTCAAATGCATAGCAAAAAAGAGTTAAAGTTTTTTTTCAAAACTAATGTTAAACGTTGCACTTCAGAAAGACATCATTATAAATGACTATGGTGGCACGATGCTCATAATATCCGTCACATCTCCACTATCAATTATCTGTCTTCACCCTGCACTGTTTCTAGCGAGAAAATAAATAATAATAGAGTTAATTAATATATACTTACATTTCTTTTGTTAGGGTTTAGATTAAAATACTTAAAACTTAAATATACACAAATTGAAAAAAGACACTTCAATTTTGAAGGTAAAAAACGAAAAACTTGGTTAATTCGTGCTTAAAATAAAACAAGAAGTTAGAAAAATAATTTATACTATATATCTTTTTAGTAAAACAACACCATAGCGCAAAGATGTTTTTTACTTCAATAATTAATTTATTTCCCACGTGCATGAGTTATGTTGTGTTTTTCTTTACGCTGTTACAAAAGCCTTCCTATTTAAACACTTTAAAATGTAATTTATGAATTTGTTGTGTTATCTTATTTTTATTCTCAAGTAACTTATTAATAATTTTATATTAATAAAATAATTAATATATTTGAAATAATTTATTTTCTCTTTTCATTTATTTTGTTTTGATTATTTTTATAAATTATTTAATAAAATAATTCTAACAAAATTAAATAACTTACTATACTTTTTAATAAAAGCTTGTTTTAAATAATTAATATTTAATTTTTAATTTAAACATCTTATCAAACATTCTCATTGGAGATGTTCTAGTACAGTTAACAATTTAAAATTTTAAGAAAATATTTATAATAATCTATAAAAAAATAAATTCAAAGATTTAAACGTTTAAAATTCATAAATTCATGATATTTTCAATCAAATAAGGAATAAAATTTTATTAGATAAAAATAGTATGAATAGAAAAGTTAATTTTCATTATTTATATTATAAAAATATTATTATTTCTTAACTATCACACAACATATAATAATAATAATAATAATAATGTTTTTCACTTATGCCAATTATTTTTTTATAGATATTTATATTTACATTTCTATAAGAAAACATACAAAACATAAAATTATAGGAATAATTCACGTAATCCTAAAATGGCTAGACTGAGCTCGTGTTATACTCTTACAAAATATAAAATTGTTGGGATTTATCTCATGCCATTATATCTTAATTTGTCAATCATTTAAACGACGTATATTATATTCAGTTAGTATTTATAAAATATTTATCATATCAATACATCAAGTATTTCTACTATTTATTGGTTATATAACATATCACACGCCTTTACAAATGATTTATTCTCAAATACAATATCTTTAAAGACATTTGACGACTTTGACAAAATTATGTGTTGAATTAAAACTAAAAAAAGTGTACCTATAGTTGATCACTTAAGCTGTCTCATAATGAGGCATCAAAGAAGGTAGACAAGTTCTAAAACTTATATGATAGAACAAATGCACCATAAATTAAATAGAAACATTTTTCAACTTTCATTATTTGATATTTTCCTTTCTACGAATATGTTGATTTAACATAAAAGAAAGTTTTGAAGCATTTAATAAGTTATAAAGTATTGGAATATTACTTGAGCAACCTCTTGACGTTTGAGTGACATTCTTCTCAAATTTCTTTCAGTTCACTCTTTGCTTGGGCGACACAATGGGTCAATGTCAACTCATCGCGAAACTGTGTTGTTAGAGTATCACACTACAAAAAACTTCATAATTATTAGAGATTTATTTTCAGCAGTTATAAAAATCGTAAAAATTAAATGTAATTTATGACAAAAAATTTAACTGACACAATAATTATAATTAATTTTAAATTTTTTAATTTTATTTTTATTTATTTTCATTTTTCATTCTCTCACTTTCTTCTACCTTCTCTTTCTCTCTTCGTTATCTCTTTCTCTCTTTACCGTTTCATTCATTTTCACACTCATCTTTCACTCTAACGTTTCATCCTTCACTGCAAGGTCACATATCCTCTCTCAATCACCAATTCAGGTTTAATCCTTCTTATGTTTTACTTTTCAATTTCACATGTTTATGATTTTTGTGGAAAATTACAAGAGTTTTATTTATCATTTGTTCTTCAATTTACAGTATATGCTAATTTCTCCTTCTCTTCTCTCTGTGACGCATGACAATCTACATTCAACCGTTTTTTGTTTTTCCTTAACCTCGGGTACGAAACTTTTAATATCATTTTTTGTTTTTGGTCTCCAATCTCTCCAAGACGGACACTCGGACGGCGTTGCCGCTTCGGAGCTAACGCCGGAGGGGCGACGATATCGATGCTCGGCTGCGATGCAGTTGCTGCAGCCGGCGGAGCCGTTTCCTCCGCGGCGTCTGGTGCGGAGGGGATTGGAGGGTCCGGCGGTGGGGGATTGGTTTCGGGCACTTCCGCCATTGTGGTCACAGTGGCAGTGGCGGAGTGCGCAGGATAAGGGAGACGGGGAGTTTTCTGGTGCGGTAGGGTGCAAGGGTACAATTACCTCTAAGATTTTGCGCCGTTGGATAGTTATTATGCGGTTTTTGGTCCTGCATCCAGTTTCCTCGTTTGAGTTTGTATTTTTAGTTAAGTTTATATAGCACCTCACTAGTGTTCCCTATGTTTTCAGAGCTATTTTGTTCTAACGAATTGCTTTCTTATCAACTACATTGCTTCCTGTCTTAAATGAGCAGGTTCCCCATTTTGGACTCTTTCCTCATTCCCCACTTTATACATTTTCTCTTTGTGTATTTGGCTCAATTTGCTTTGTTCACAATGACTCTGGGGATTGACAAGCTCATGCCATGGTTCACCACAGGCATCTTCCTAGGTTATATCAATCACAAAAGTGTTATCAACACTTATATCCTACCCTTCTAGGATATTTTATTTCAGTTAATGTCTCATTTTCTGGTCTACTCAGTCTCCCTTTGACATATCATTTGTTGTCCCTCTTGTTATCCCTGCTCTTGTTCCACTTTCATCTTTTTCTCAAAATGACCTAGTGGTGCATCAAGATGATCATGCGGAGCTACCAACCATGTAATCTCTTTAGACATTAATGTCGCCAATGCCTTAATATCATTGCTACACTAGCCCCTGGTTTGGCTCGTGACAATATAGTAGAGAGGCCATGCCATACTCTTTCTCGGTGACATCTTTATTGGATCTTTGCCTTCCTCTAACATTGATTGGACAACTGCTCTCTGAAAAGGTATTTGTTATACTCGAAACTCATTTCCTCAAGATATCAACCTTAGTTCTCATTGTCTCTCTTCTTTGATTAATGCTTGTCTTCTTGTCCTTGGTGTCTATCCCTAACAAATCTAGGTGAAGCATTATCAAGATATTAAATTATTATACATTCTACATTTCTATGTGAAGAACTAAAGAGGTTGACTCATTACATGTCACAGTTCTGTGTTAATGGAATTTATTGTCACTTTCATATTGTTGCTTCAGTCATGCATGTCATTTTTCAAAATTCTTTGGTCTTGTTTGTTTCACATTTTTGTCTGCAAATTTTTAACTCCCATGTTTTTGTGATAGTGACTGTTCTAGAATCTTGAATTAATTTCTCAATACTTGATCTTTTGTTGGGGGTGTCCTTTACTATCAACTGACGAATTTTTCTTTTTAATTCTTTTAAGAAAAGGAAACGTACCAGTTGATGGGAGAAGGAGATTTGCTAATATTAGTGTAAAGTTTCCTCTCATTAACCATGACACAATGCAAACAAAAGAATAACATAGAAGTCGTCAAGTCTCTTTGAATGTTTGGTTAAACATGTTTAAAATTGTGATTAGGTGATCAAGTTGCTAAATGGTAATACTCTTGTCATTTGCTAATGTTTTCATGTTTCCTTCATTTTCTTTCCATTTCGGATTAATGCCTCTTCTTCCGAGGATGGGCTAAACTTTTATGATTCTGGTCATCGCTTTGAGCATTCACAACTTTTGTTAGTGCTTTTGCATTCCCTTCCATTTGCACCTAGGCCACTACGAAGCGAGCACTACAGGTATTTAGCTTAACCGTGCTCAATTTTTACTACATGCATCTGTTTGTTACTTATAAATTGTATATTTTTTTATTTATGAGGTGTTTGTCTGTTTCATGTGATGAAATCCTCAATACGACTCGCTTGTACATTGATGTACTTGCTTAGTTTATGCATTTCACTTTCTTGCATTTTATAGTTTATTGGGGCCTAAGTTTGCTATTACTTGAAGATTTGAAAATAATGCTGAAACACAGATTTTTTGACCTTGGCTGGTAAAAAACTAAAACAAAAGACAGGCTTGGTTGAAGTCTAATTTTTTCTTTTATTGGCAGTCTCCCCTCCTCCATCCCCCATTTAATTAATGAACATTAACTGTATTTTAAAACCATGCTTGATAGTGAAAATTTCCGGTAGCATTTCAATGAGTTTTCGTAGAATATATTCTTCAGTTTTCGTAGAATATATTCATGTTATCAATATATTCTTCAATTTATACAAAACTCTATCAATTTATACAAATTGAGAGCCTATGGAGAAGCAGCTTCACTTCTTTCATCAGCTTGTGGTCGTATTGTTAAAGATTCAAATAATGTTCCAATAAATTTTGGTAGCTGTCCAAGTGTTCCAAAATCATATAAGGATGATTGTTTTAACACTTTAAAGGTATATGCATAAACCAAGATTTACAGCTTTGTTCTTGTTAAGGTTTATGATATACTAATTGCCTTTTTTTTTAGAATATATTTCATTTCCAGACATCAGAAAAATCTGCTGAGCGATATTGTTCACTTTGCATGTCAAATAAGTATAGAAATGGAAAGATGAATTTGTGGAACCGAGTCTATGATAGCTCATTATCAAGAGAGCAATTAATTGCTAATGTTCCTAATGGTATTCACAAAGATCAGTGGTCTTCATTCGTTGATTATCATCTAAGTTCAAAATATAAGGTAGTTATAACAAATAATTGTTATCAATAATTATTTTTTAAACTTGGTTTTGAATTAATAAGTTGTTTGTTTCATAGGAATTATGTAAGAGAAATATTGAAGTCAGAAAAAAACAAAAGATTCCTCATACCAGGTGGTGCAAAACTTTTATCTACAAAGCAACATGAAATGGTAAATTATTTTTGTTTTATTGTTAAATTTAACAAAAAAAATTATAGTATTCTTCTAAACTTATATGATCATGTATATTATAGGAAATAAATCTTGGACGTGCTTGTAGGCAGAGGAGAATTGTACATTGCAACTCACAAGAAAAAAAATGGATCTTATGTTAACGAGGAGGCAAGATCTATAGTGGTAAGTTTAACAACAAGTAATGTGTTTAAACATGTGAAATTATATTCTTTCTATACATATGCCTTATGGTTTTGAAGCTTTGCATCTAGGATTCCAATTTCCAACCATATATTTCAACAACGTATGGGGTAAACTTTGTCTTGTTTCAGTTTCTATATTTTTACCCAGACTCATATCATAAATCATAAACATATAGAATGTTTGTGTTTAAGTTGTATTATTTAGTGTGGTCAAACTGATGTTATTGTTGAAAACCTCCTTTGTATAATATTAATATGAATATCAAACAATTGTATTTATTCTATTTACAGGAGAAAATAACACAAGAAATGAGTCAAAGTGTCAATTTTACGAAATTTCAGCTAATGATTGTGTTAGTAAAGTGCTTGGGAAAGGATCATCCTGGGCGTGTACGTTGTCTAGGACTAGGAGGTCTTCATAGTGTTGCATTTCAGTCTACCACAAGATTTAGCAGGTGCAGGTGCAATTTCTCAAATTCTGATTCAAGTGGAAATTCTCAATTGAAAGAGGAAGTTATTCATTTAAGAGAAAAATTAGCAACTTCGAAGAAAATGTCAAAACATTAAAAAGTGTCATGCTTGCATACATCCAAATGAAAGAAGGACACATTCCTCCTGAGTTGGGTGTCATGTTTGGTAGTACAAGTAATATAGTTGTAAGTACTTTATAGTTTGTTTTAAATGAAATTATATTATTCAATACCTGTATAAAGTTCAATATCTTATGTATAATTTCTAATTATGCTTAGATGATATGATCTTTATTTTATAGGATGAAGAGAGTGGACAAGATATGTCAACACCACAAGGAGAATCTTCTTTAGATAGTAATTTTCATAAAGTTTGACATTATTTGTAAGTATTTCATATTTTGTGTTAATAGAATTATGTTGTTAATTATTTCTATGGAGTTTAATATCTTTTATATATATTTTTAACTATATTAAGATGATATTATTTTTATTTCACAGGATGAAGCAAGTGAATGAAATATGTCAATATCATAGGAGGATACTCATTAGATAGTAATTTTCATTAAGTTTGACATATATGTTATGAAATTTTTGGATCTATTGACATCGTATTTTGTTAGATACACTTTATTAATGAATAATGTGATGAATTTTATTGGACTTTTAGGATGAAATTTGATTTTATCTTAGTTGATATTGAATTATATTTAGCTAAGTACTCTGTCAAAGTGAATTATATCTAAAAACTACAAATTTAACCATTTTTTAGTGAGAATCAAACTAATATTTTATGTCATTAAAACAAATGAAAAATATATTATACATTTCATTAGATTATTGATTTTATTATAATGATTAAATTATTATTACACTTATGGTGGTATTTTAAAGTAATTCTAAATAAAAAAGAATTTTAATTATTAATTATAAAATTATTAAAAAATAATTTGTAAATAATAATTAAAATTTTGATTTATTGATAAAATAATTAAAAAATAATAATTAAATAATTTTTGGTGGTTTTTTAAACCTCCAATAAGTTTTAAATAATTATAAAATATTATATATTTTGTAGCGGTTTTTAATTGTTGAAATATAAAATTAATTATAAAAATAACATTTGTAACAATTTCAAATTGCAACAAAATGTTAAATTAAAATGAGAATAATAATGTATTTTATGGCGGTTTTTAACTGTTGAAATTTTTTTTTTGACATAAATACCAGCATTTAAAAAAATTACGTTACAAATCGTTTTTGACATCTATAAATATGACAGTTATATTAATTGTTACAAATTTTATTTGTAGCGGTTTTTAACTTCTAAAATCTACAATTTTAACCGTTATAAATAACATATTTTTTTGTAGTGTCGGGATTAACATTTTAGTGAGGTCAAAATCATATTAATTCTCTCTTTACTAAATATTCATATATCCATAAAAAGAAAAGTTTTTTTTTATATTTTTCTATAAATATATATATATATATATATATATATATATAATATAATTTCAATATATTAATTATATTATAATGGGTTGTCCGATATTTGAAGTCGAAACTAATAGAATAAAGTAAATAATTTTGTTAATACAATTTAATAATAGAATAAAACAAGAAAATATTTCTCTCCTGTATTGCACATGACTTTTCTTATATATATATATATCTAAACCTTAATTACTTGCTTCTTAAAAAAATTAAGAAAGTTAAATATTCGTTTTAATAATATTAATTTCATATCAATTATATTTATGGGAAAAATAAGTCAATATGCTAAAAATAAAATGAAATAAATTGATCCGGTATAATTAGAATTGATTACTTATCATAGTATATTGTGTAGAACTGCAGATTGACGAGTCAATTCACCAATCTATCATAATGTATCGTATAAAATTGTGGATTGATGAATCAATTGACCAACCTATCAATTTAAAATATATATTTAAGTTTTTATTTATTAATTAAAAGTTTTATTAGATAAATTGAAAAAAATTAATATATTTATGTTTATTAAATTTTTAATTTAAATTATAATATTATAATATATTTATGTATTTAAATAACACATAATAAACAAAATATTTTTAATTATAATTCTTTTATTTTTATTTTAATATATAAATATTTTTTGTAAACAAGTCAATTCACCTGTCTTTAACCTCCAAGTTAGTAAGATGGACTAAAATAAACTAGTGAACTAAAACTATCAATTTGTGATTGATAAGTGTGAAAACTAAATTCTAATATTTGGATATTGTCAAATGGTTCAAGAATGAAAACTTCATTATTTGAGTGTTAGATGATTGATTGAGCAAAAAAAAATTTAAATGAGAGTTCTAAATAAATTGAAAAAAAAAATATTTATGTTTATTAATTTTTGTAATTTAAATTATAATATATTTATGTATTTAAATAATATATAATAAAAACATATTTTTAATCATAATTTTTTTATTTTAATTTTAATATATAAATATTTTTTTCAAATAGGTCCGTTCACCTATCTTTAATCTTTAAGTTAGTAAAACGGACTAAAATGAATTAACGAAGTAAAATTATTAATTTGTCTACTGTGAAAACTTTGAATTCTAACATTTAGATATTGTAAAATGGCTCATGAAAACTTCATTACTTGAGTATTGAGTATTAGATGATCGATTGAGAAAAAAAAAATATAAATAAGAGTTATAATTCACTTCTCCTATGACAAAACATGTCTATTCATTTTGTCTCAAAAAAAAAGAGATCGGGTTGACCACCATAATTAAAACAGGTTATAAACTTCAATCCATTCCGTCAAAAGACTAATCCATAGATTAGTCAATCAATTTGTTAATGTATTATTTTTATATAAAATTATATATATTTAAAAATATACTTTTAATTATATAAATAATTTTTAATTTTTTATTAAATAAATTATCATGTTTATGTGTTAAAATAATTAATTATAATGAATAATTTAAATTTAATTAATTAATATTTATAATTTAAGTTATAATATTATAATATATTAGCATAATATAAAATTTATAATATTTTTAATTAATTTTAATATACAAATATTTTTTTTAAAATGGATTCCCAACTTTCAACTTGATAATGAGAGGAAGCAAATTAAATTAAGGAATTAAAATTATCAATATATTTTATTACTTTTGAGACTAACGGGTTAATAAACATGTTCACGATACCTAACATATATTACCATTTTTAATTATTTTGAAGAACAAAGACGTGGTTCCAATTATATAAATGTACTGCATTCCTTTTTAAATCATATATTTACAATATTTTTAAATTAAAATAATGTATATGTAACCAATTAATTTCATCCATAACATTCTTAACATAAA